TCTGGAATTGAACCCACACCTGTGGTTTCCAGCCAAACAAAAGACAGGCATATGAGTTGAACATTTACCTCAATTAGATACACTCCTTGGAGAGAGCAATCATTGAGAAAGAAGGGCTGCTTATGCACAGGGAGACAGCTCACAGGGCAGGAGTGTATGGAGGGATGGACACCAGGAAGAGGTAACTATGGGGAGGGAGTGGGAGGGGAGCAGATGCATTGTGGTAAACTGTGGTCAATGACATGAGACAAAGTATATGTGAACGGCTGTCTGGAAAGTGAATTTGCTCTGTAAATCTTCACGCAAATCACAATTTAAAAAGAAAAGAAGACCTTTTTTTATTAGTTAAGTGAAACTACTGCTCATTTATAAGAAGAAATCAGCAGATATTGTTGGTTTAAGGTTTAAAGATTATTGCAGGACAATATTTCAGGCATTATCTACCCTTCATAGCTCCAGATATCTAGAGGTAATGAGAATTTGAGACTCTGTTCTGCATTTCCCCCTTTTGATCAGGATTCTTCTATGGAATCATTGATCAAAAGGTTCAGTAATGGTAGGTGGACACCAACCAGTTTTTCAAGGCTCATGGCAAAGGAGGCAGTTGCTCATGGAAGCAATTAGCCACACATTCCATATTCTATTCATATTCTTGACTCTCCTTCTTCCTCTGTTGTTCCAGGTGAATAGAGATAAATTGTTGTGCCTCGGATGGCTGCTTGCAAGCATCCAGGCATTACACAACAAACTAGGAGGTAGCTGACCAATATTTCTTAATCCTTGCTCATCATTAGAAATGCACTGTGGGAGTTCCAGCAAGATGGCAGACTAGGCAGAAAGACTGCAGAGACCCTCTTCAACAAAGAAAAAGGAAACCAATTAACACAGACACAGAAGACAATCTTGAATCCCTGAGCCATGAAGGGAAGGATATAGAAGTGGACTAAACCCCAACTAGCAAAAAAATTTGCATGAAAATACCATAAAAGGAGACATACAGCGCTGCGGTCTGGCAGCGATCCTGACGGCACAGACAGCTTGGAGATTCCCAAGTGGTGGTAGGCCTAAGAATTAACATAAAAATCATCCCTGCTAGCCAGGGACTGCAAAGAGGACTGCTCTGGTGGCTGGGGAATAAACGGAGAAGGTGAAGAGAAAGGCGGGCTGAGCTGTGGACTTTTGCCGGTCTGGAGAATGCCACCATTTTGAAGGTTTAAAAGCGGCTTGACTATTTTGGATATTTAAAGAGACAGCGCTCTTGCAGATTCCTAGGGCTTAAGAACACTTGTTCTGCTTTCCAACAACCCCAAGGACACTCCAGACCTGCAAGACTGAAAAGGTACCACATTTCTTTTGTTGTTCTTATACCCCACACCCGCTTGGTGAACGGAGGTGTGGCCATCCCCCACTCCCACCTACCTTCTGGGCCCACAGGTACTACATCACAGTCTGTGTGCTCAGACGGAGCCTGGGTGCCCTACCCTGTCCTCCACCTATATTTTTTTTTTCCTCTTTTCTTTTTCCTTTTTCGCTTTCTTTTTTCTGGTGATTAGTTTGCTTGTATTTCTCTGTTTTAAAACAACTATTATTATTAATACTGTAGTCATTTTTCCTATTATTCTTAATCTTCCCCTCCCAGGTC